ACTCCTGACCTCAGGTGATCCACCCGCCTCAGCCTCCCAAAGTGCTGGGGAGGGGTTATTTAAAGAATTTTTAAGAACTCCTCGACTTGGATTGGCCGGGCGCGGTCAATCCAAGCACTTTGGGAGGCGGCAGTGGGCAGATCCCCTGAGGTCAGGAGTTCGAGACCGGCCTGGCCAACACGGTGAAACCCCGTCTCTACAAAAAAATACAAAAATCATCCGGGAGTGGTGGCGGGTGCGTGTCATTTCAGCTACTCGGGAGGCTGGGACAGGAGGATCACTTGAACCCCGGAGGCGGAGGCTGCGGCGAGCTGAGGTCGCGCCCCTGCCCTCCAGCCCGGGCGACAGAGCGAGACTCCATCTCAAAATAAATAAATAAAAAATACATTTTGAAAGAGAAAAGTTGTAAAGAACTGGGTACCGGTGGCACGGCGGGCATCGAACGTTTTATCTACATTGGTCTGTGTTCTTTGCCCAGACGACTTATAATTTAAAAGTCGGACCGAGTCAGGAGTGGGATGTTGGCGATTTTCTGTTACGACGGAAAGAGCATTTCGGAGCGATGAGAATTCCCTTCACCTCGTTCTCTTCTGAAATACGACGCTGAATTTTCTCACAGCTTTTTTTTTTTTCCTATTGCAATAACACGTAAAAAAAAAAAAAAAAAAAAAGCTGAGTCTGGGGTAGGTCTGCGGGCAAGTTGTAAAAATATGACAGAATCGCCAACAAAAAGATAATTATTTTAAATACTGACCCTTCGGAGGAGAGCCAAAAATCAAACAGGAACACGGGGGAAAAGGGCGAGTTGAAATTTCATTTGGTTACTGGTGTCTCTGGGTATCCAAGGGGTTAATGTTTCCTTCTTGGGACAGATTCTTTGCTCTGTGGCCCAGGCTGGAGTGCGGTGGGGTGATGTCGGCTCCCTGCGACCTCTGCCTCCCGGGTTCAAGAGATTGTCCTGCCTCAGCCTCCTGAGTAGCTGGAATTATAGGAACACATCACCACACCTCACTAATTTTTGTATTTTTAGTAGACATGGGGTTTCTCCATGGTGCCCAGGCTGGTCTCGAACTCCTGACCACAAGTGATCCAGCCTCCTCAGCCTCCCAAATTTCTGGGATGACATGTGTGAGCCACAGTGCCTGGCTATAAATCTACCTTTTTTTTTTTTTTTTTTTTTGAGACGGAGTTTCGCTCTTGTTACCCAGGCTGGAGTGCAATGGCGCGATCTCGGCTCACCGCAACCTCCGCCTCCTGGGTTCAGGCAATTCTCCTGCCTCAGCCTCCCGAGTAGCTGGGATTACAGGCACGCGCCACCGTGCCCAGCTAATTTTTTGTATTTTTAGTAGAGACGGTGTTTCACCTCGTTGACCAGGATGGTCTCGATCTCTTGACCTCGTGATCCACCCGCCTCGGCCTCCCAAAGTGCTGGGATGACAGGTGCTGCCCACAGCACCCAGCCACAAATCCAGTTTGAACGAAAGGCTCACCGTGCCAAAAGCAGATATGAAGGACCCCAGCAAGGCGGGAGTGATTTGAGGTTTCGGATGATTTTAGGAAAAATAAATTGACTCCCTACACCTTCTGATTCTTCTTCCAGAACTCTGTGTTTTGATTCCCGGGAGAGGAGGGAACGGTGGGGTGGAGGGTGCTTCAGCGTAATAAATACAAGATGGGAAGGAAAAAGGGACACGTGACCCATTATGTAAACACGCCATCTTTGCCTGCGTCCGGGAGACTTGGAGGGAGGCGTATTTCTTTATTGAGCAGGTGTGTTCGAAGGCATGACAGGGAGGGACGGGCAGAGAGCATTCGAGGCGATGCCTGTGTGTCTGGGACGTGATTAGATGCCAGACACGAAGAGGGTCGGGGGATCATCCTCTCTCTCAGGATTGTAATCACACTTGGCACTTCCTGTCAGCAAGATGGCTTTGCTGCAGAGTCCTGCATCATTAGCGATGAAACAGCAGATGATGATGACAAATTGGGCCTTAATCTCCCAAGAAGGGGGATGTCGCCCGCTGTCCCACCTGCATCCCGTTTGCAGAGGAGCCTCCTCCAAGCAGGGCTGCGTGGGCCACTAAGTCCCCACAGTTCTGATGGTTTTGTAAGTGTTTGTCAGTTTCTCCCTGCCTGCCGCCATGTAGGACTTGCCTGCTGCCATGTAGGACTTGCCTGCTGCCATGTAGGACTTGCCTGCCACCATGTACGACTTGCCTGCCGCCATGTACGACTTTCCTGCCGCCATGTACGACTTTCCTGCCGCCATGTACGACTTGCCTGCTGCCATGTACGACTTGCCTGCCGCCATGTAGGACTTGCCTGCATTCCTTTCCGCCATGATCGTAAGTTTCCTGAGGTCTCCTCAGCCACGCAGAACTGTGAGTTGATTAAACATCTGCAGTGAGCCGAGATCACGCCATTGAACTCTGGCCTGGGTGACAGAGTGAGACACTCCCAGCCCCCACTTTCTAGGAGGATTTGTATAGATACATAAAATCCAAAGCGAGACCCTTGTCTAAAAAAAATGGTTGAGATTGTACATTTTATGTCATTTGTATTTTATCAGTTTTTTAATGTGATGCTATGGAAAGAGAATGAGGCAAGTTAATCTTTACTCTGCATCTCTCACTCTGGATAAAGTTGGTCCAGGAGATTGCTCCGGTATCACCTGCAAGGTCCAGGTGGAAATCTTTCCTGTAAATCAACAAGCTCAGATATATGATATGGATTTCATGGCTATGGAAGGTGGGGGTGGGGTGGTGTCTAATTCAGCATTGTTCACAATAGCCCGAATGTGGCGGCAACTCGAGTTTCCATCCATGGATACGTGGATAAAGAAAATGTGGTCTATATATGCAATGGAATATTATCCAGCCCTGAAAAAGGACTGAAGTGTTCACACACAGTACAACACGGATGACCCTTAAGGACACGATCTGTGTCTTTGAGAGGTACCCCTGAGATGGAGGTAACGAGGGTAGGTCCACACAGCTGGGTCACGGCAGGCGCTCAAGTGAAAACGTGACCCTATTCCTTCCAGAATTGGCCAGACTCACCCAGTGTTTTGAATTTGTTCAAACCAAGAAAAGGTGACCTATCTCTGCGTCTTTGGCAGAAGTGTTGAGTCTCTGCCTTAGATTAGACAGGAAAAAAGATTGTGTGTGTGTGTGTGTCTGTCTGTGTCTGTGTAAGATAAAACCTGAACTCAATCTAGGTAAAGAATCTTGGTTAAAAGTGCCAGGAAGTATGAGGTCATCTTGTTTAGACTTGATTTTCACTCTGGCCAACCCGTTAGCCAGGAAGCTCCTGTCTGCATTCAGTGAGACCCTCCCAGCCCCCACTTTGTGGGAGGATTTCTTTAGATAAGTAAAACCCAATAGCTTCAGAATTTCATAAAGACGAAGACGGCAGAATTTGGCTTCCGTGAGTTCCGTAGAGTTTTCTAATCCGCAGACACAGGGCAATACCGCGTCTCTAAGAAAAATAAAAGTTCTGTCAGCACCAACCCCCAGACTTCTCTTCTGAAATGTGCAACCTCAGGATTAAATGCTCCCCCTTCGCCGTACGCGAGGCAGCCTCCGTGGATGTTAATTAAATGGCTCTCGCTCCTGTCCTAGTGTATTTTCTGCTTACAGAGAAGTTTCTTCGGCTGCAGCGGCTGATTCACTTTCGGAGGAAATTTCAGCCCTTCTTATTTATTTCCCCAGGCGAACAAAATACAAGCTTTTTTTTTTTTTTTTTAAGAGAAAATAATTACCCTACTTTTAATGACAAGGGAAGAAGTGTTTTGTCCTGTTTAAAAATTCTCTATGCGACAAAATACACAGTTAAACGTCGTATGGCTTAAAAATAGCTTGCCATATTTATCCTTTAAGAAGGGAATATGGAGTTCTTGGATGACACTGGACAAATTTGGTGACGAATCCCAGTCTTTTAAAAATTAGATAGCGATAATCTAGACACACATACTCAAGGACAGTTCTTGTCACCCAGGCTGGAGTGCAATGGCGCGATCTCGGCTCACCGCAACCTCCGCCTCCTGGGTTCAGGCGATTCTCCTGCCTCAGCCTCCCCAGTAGCTGGGATTACAGGCACGCGCCACCGTACCCAGCTAATTTTTGTATTTTTAGTAGAGACGGGGTTTCACCATGTTGACCAGGATGGTCTCGATCTCTTGACCTCGTGGTCCACCCGCCTCAGCCTCCCAAAGTGCTGGGATGACAGGCCTGAGCCACCGCGCCTGGCCTGGTCCAGTATATCTTGACATATAATATGTAGACAGACTAGATGAATCTATTCACAGGTAGTCACTAAAGTCATTAAAAAAACCCAAAAAAACCACACACACACACACACACACACACACACACACACACACACACAGGCCAGGCACGGTGGCTCACGCCTGTAACCCCAGCACTTTGCGAAGCTGAGGCGGATGGATGATGACATCAGGAGTTTGAGACCAGCCTGGCCAACATGGTGAAACTCCGTGTCTACTAAAAATATAAAAATTAGCTGGGCACGGTGGCGTGTGCCTGTAATCCCGGGTACTCGGGAGGCTGAGGCAGGAGAATCACTTGAACCCGGGAGGCGGAGGTTGGAGTGATTGGAGATCACACCACTGCACTATAGTGTGGGTGACTGACTTACACTTTGTGTCAAAAAAAAAAAAAACAAAAAAACATAAAAAACCAAAACCACCAAAGAAACAACAACAAAATAGTGAGAAAAATGTCACAGAATACACCAGTCCTCTGGGGTCAGGGTCCAGCTTAATGGCCTCATTTCTCATTAGTCACCTGTTTCAAGATCCCATAAATGCCCCTCCATGATACACTGGACAAGGAAAATGTGGCCCACGGACACCATGGAGTACTATGCAGCCATGAAAAAGGGTGAGTTCACGTCCTCTGCAGGGACATGGATGAAGCTGGAAACCATCATTCTCAGCAAACTGACACGAGAACAGAAAACCAGACACCGCATGTTCTCAC